CCCCGGGGTTTATATGTGTCGCTTTGGGCGAATCCTGAGCAAATCAGAATTGGATCAATCAATTCACCTAGCGGTTCCGAAATGCGGCGACCTTAGGTCGGAATTTCAGTGAAATCAACGGGCCTTAGTTTCCAAGGACTTGCAAATTAATATTACATCTAACTAACTTAACTGTCGCTGTATCGTCAAAAAAGAAGCTGGACGTAAGAATTTTATTTGTGCCATATCCTGAGTAATCAGCCAGTGATACGGGAAGGCCATGTCGGATGCCATGGAACCGAATTGGAGTTAGTTCGTAATAATGCACTTTTAAGTTGAATGATCCCTCGCTTTAGCTACGAGCTGGTGTGAGCGAAGACTGCTTAACTTGTAACCGACGACTAAGCAATTTAAAAAGTCCAACGGTACGTGATATAAGATAGGTCGAACCTATTACCTATTAAGCGAAAGCTAGCCAAAATATATCGTTCTACCAAAAGCGTACATCCGAATTTTCTTTAAGAACATATGCCAGTTGAGGAATGCACAGCCCAAAATTCAGAAAATTTTGGAATTTTCCGTACTTGAGCTCCAACTTTCCCAAACTAAGACATTCTAATTAGAATGTATCCTATTAGTTACTTCCCCAAGGGGACGCTTGATCGATGTTGAAGTTAATCCGTGAAAAGAATGCAACATGAGAGCAGCCTTTTTCAACCGATAAAGTTGTCAAGAGTAAACAGTTAATGGCTAAATGTCGACCGCTTACAACAGCCTTCCTGTTTTCATGATCAACCATGTCAAGAAGCGGGTAGGCCTTGGCCACCTGGTCCATTGTGTAGACATCCGTGAAACCCAAATCACTCGCCCATTCCGTAACATTACCTTGACCCAGGACGAGGACTTTGTGGTTGTGCCACTGAGCAAACGATTTGAGGGGGCTGGGAGCGAATATGATTTGTTCCGGTTCTAACTGTGGTTACAAGTGAAAAGTAAAAGACTCAGGAAACAAGTTCATGTTGTGAAGTCAAAGCATAGTGGCTCAAACCACTGAAAGACGATTAAATCCAATACAGACAAATGAATAACCTGGCCTTCTCTGTAATAAGATGACAACCTATCTTCCAGATTACCCTTTTACATCCTTAACACTGATTAACCCTTTTAATCACTAACAAATTTCCAGTCCAAATATTAATTTCCTCACCGTATCGCAATCTAAATGAAAAAAACCAACCCACTGAAATGCAAATATTTCCAGCTCCCAGTATTGGAGGAAAGACGGGCTGAAACAAAACTTAGAGCTCTGATAGGTGGATAAAGTCCTGCTTGGCGACTTTGACCGGGGTTAAATATGGCTAGGTGACGACGGCTAATAAACCAGAAACTGGCACTCCAGTCTCCCCCGTTTTTGTCAATCATGCTATTCTGTGGTTCATAACGGTTTGTCTGACAAACGGTCGGCGAAGGGGTCATGTGGTACAGCTATCTGGATCTTCACTAGCATTATCGACGTCTAAATTGCGCCGATCGGCTTAAGGTTAGGGTTAGGGATACGGTTGGAGTTAGAATCAGTATTAGCAATTGAGTCATTCCCAGGGCCGAGGTTGTCAGGCCTAGGTTATAGTCTGGATTTGCGGTTGAGGCCAGGGTTGGGATTTAGAATTAGGGTTAGGGTTGCGGTTACGCTCGAGTTCTCATTAAATGCTTACTGGTTAAGGGTTAGGCTTGCCCATTACAGCCATGGTCATGATGGGTGTTAGAACCATAGTCAACCACGGTTCTCCTAGTAGGTTACATACCGTACCCTTACCTTCAAGGCAGTTATGACCATAATCTCGTTGTGGCCCTTTCAAGTTATAAGAATACGCTCTAAGCAGCTGTGCAAAGTAATTTGTTAGGAAGTATGTAACGTAAACACCCGACAGTTCGATCGTCGTTACCGACGATGTCCACCGTGTGCTCCACAGCAAGATGAGAGCAGGGACGGTGATTTGCGCGTGATTTAGTTTATAGTGAATGCAGACTCGCGCAACATCCACCGCACTCTCTTCTTCCCCACCTGGACCCGATGTCAAGACAGAGCCAGGAAGGTCAGAGGCGGAGGAGGGCGTAGGCGGATGGCACGACCGAGCCCGCATCTAGACGTACCACCACACTCCCTGATACACAAAAAACACTTGGCCAGGATGTCAACCAAGAAAAATGAGTCAGAAAGAAAAGGATGATATAAATCACCGGGTAACCATGCACACGACATGTATCCTCAACTGGAGCGCGAGAGCAGTGAACCAGGTGCCAGAGGACTGTCAGTGCACACCAGGCTGCGAAGGGCGTGGTTTGATGAATCATAGCATAGCAGACGCACATTATCCCTAAAGTCCAGAATGGTGAGACACAGCCCTGCATTTAGCTTGGGCCATCACCCGTCAGAGGCCGGGTAACCAGTCAGTCATCGACTGAGAGGCACTACCCATATACATGCACACACTACTCGCATGCGTGATGTGTGATGCATGTGCTGGCGGGGGAAGATGTGATGGTGTGTCGTAGCCGGTAGTTGTCAACCGCAGGTTTTCGTGAATGCTCATGTAACCTAGTTGACTCATTTGGTGGCTGAATGTCCGGGGGCAGTGAGGACAGTGGAGACGGATGAGTCGAATGTAGATTGGTGCTCCAGGTACCGGTTCGCCAGTCTCTGTGCAATTGGCTGACCAGGTCTGCGTGCGAGGTGGATGTACGATTGCAATGATGACAGATATGAGCCGAGTCCACATCACTGGAGGTGGGGCTGTTGTTGCTGATGATAAAAGGTAATGGGACGTCCGACGTCATCTCATCGGTAGGGAAAGTGCGTAGTGCCGTTCTGCTGGTGGTGGAGCTGGTCGCTTTGGTCGACGCATGGGTTGAGGCAGGGCGGAGGATGTCGGTTGTTGATGGCGGCGGCGGGGCGACGGTCGGTGGGGGGTTTGCGACAGGGGCAAGAGTGTGAGAAGTTGACGTTGTCGGGTTGTTGACACATTGAGTCTTAAGGTGTCCCACGAGACCGATCCACGCGCGGAATTCGCGTTGGCAGCGCGCACATGATGGAAGCGGCTGACCATTGGCATTGAGGAGTCGAGGTATTCGTGACTCGCGGGTCTCCTTTTTGGCTATGGAGGCGGCGATTCGATTTGTTACGTGGATGGCTACGCCGGTCTGTTCTGGGTGAGGTCCTCCCAGAACTTCTGGGTGATTTGAAGTCGTCTCAGAGAGTTCTTCAAAGTGCCGTTGTAGCGCCGTTTCTGTCCTCCCTGTCAACGAGCACTCGTGGTGACATCCCCATAGAAGAGTTGCTTCGGTAGTCGTGTGTCTTCTATCCTCATTAGATAGCCGTTCCAACGTAGCTGCAATTACCTCAACATGGCGTGAATGCTGAGGATCCCTGTCCGTTAGAGGACTTCTGTGTTGAGGACCCTGTATTATAATCCCAATCTCAGCATTCTGTGAAGGCAGCTGAAATGGAAATGGTTGAGTTTCCTGACAAGGCTGAAGTAGACGGCACAAGTCTCCGCTCCTTATGGAAGTGTTGTAAAGATGACGGCCGGCGAGGTTTGGTCCTGCTGCACCACTTGATTGATACCAAACGAATAGCTAACTAAAATAATTTTATTAGGTGCGACTATGCTGACTTTACATATATCAAGTGTTTCCGCCTTCCTTATTCTTTTAATGTAGCGAGTGACTGTGCCTCGGGGTGGGGAGTCCTTAGAAGCCGCTCTCGGTTACATCAGGTATCAGTTCACATGCGTTTCCCTGCGCGTGCTTCAAGACCTACTTGAGTCCTCTTTGTTATCTCAGTCCAGCCAGCGGCCAAGTAGACTTGCTAATATTATTGTTCGGATGGTGTGGAAATCCGTCGGTTCCACTATAGTGTCCATGCGCTGCGAACAAACACGCCGTTCCTACTGTGGACTTTCAGTTATGATTACGTCCTCCTTATGCTCTTAGTCCAGTGACTGGCTCTGTTGTGGGGAGTGCGTACACACCACCTTCGGTTTACACGCGCTTCCCTCCGCACTAATGGTTTCTGGGAGGGAGAGCGGGAAATCTGGGCCAACGTTGATTTTAACCTCGGGAGCCGGTCGAGGGCGACGTCGGAGATTATGGAGGGACGATTGAAGACGTTTCTTGAGTGTTAGGTCCAACTATTTAGAATCTGCGACTTCGCCGTCAGAAGCTCTGATCCGTCAGAGTTGAGAAGCGGCGCCGTTCCTTTCGTTGGGGGGTCATAGATCGCCGTGATGGCTCTGAAGAAGTTCTTTGATCCGTTGCGGTCGGCATATCCCTGAATCACTTTGACCTTGCGAGGCATCTAGGCCTCCTGCATTTCTCGCAATCGTTGCTGAGCAAGGAGGTGACATTGGTAAAAGGCCGCTTCGTTCGCACCGGTTGGACGATCGAGATAGACTCTGTGCAGCATGTTCTCCTCGGCGAGCAAGTTGCTGAGGCTGCGTCACTGTCGTTGAACTTGTCCTGGTGCTGGCGTGGTGCGCAGCCGAGGACAGCCAGGGAGATTGAATGGACGGCGTCCCGCCATTGGCACCATTGAGTCTCCACGGGGGGCGCTTTGATCTGGAGCTTGGAGGTTTTCCAGCTGCTGGGCCAGCTGGCTGCTGAAATGTAAACGGCGAGCAGGCAAAGACAACAAAACGATATTCAACTTACCTGGTGGCCGTTTTCCTTGTGGTCTCTTGCGGGCTTGCAACGGAGCCTCATCCTGGAGATAACGAGACGGTAGTCCGTCCAGCCATCGGCGTCGCAGATCGCCTTGGTCACCATCACATCCTGCCGATCTCACTGCCGAACGAGAACATAGTCCAGCAGTTGCCAGCTTCGCTATCTGGGATGCATCCAGATGGCCTTCTTCCGCATCGGCAGGCGGAAGGTGTTATTCAGCAGTAGGCGGTGTTCCGCGCAGGTCTGCAGGAGAAGAAGGCCACTGTTATTGCCGCCGACGATTCCGTGAGGACCAGCGCTCCTCACAAGACGGCACAGTCTGTCACAACGCGAGCAACGAAGTCACCAAGGACAATCAGCTTATACGCCTTTGGCATAGACATCAGGAGTACGTGCAGGTCCTCGTAGAACTTTGTCTCCATCTCGTCTGAGCTGGTCATTGTTGGGGCGTAGGCGCTGATGATGGTGACGAATTTGTCACGCCGGAGAGGAAGGCCGAGGTCCATCAGACGATCGTTGATGCTCTGTGACAGACAGGGCAGTCGTCCCACGATGTCATTCCGGATGGCAAAGGTGATGCTGACGTCTCGTCGCTCTGCATACGGGCGGTCGCTCCTGAAGAAGGTATAACCGGCACCCACCTACCCACCTCCTCCAGTTGGCCTTGTTGAGAAAAGCGGGTCTCAATGAGTGCAGCGATGCCCACCTTGTAGCGCGCCAGTTCCCGAGTCACTAACCCTGTCCTCCGTCCCGGTCGGTTGCTCCTCGGGTTGTCTAAAGCGGTACGAACATTCCAGGCTGCCAGAATGAGCGGACTCACCCTAGCAGCCTGTGGAATGGGGTGGAAGAGAGAAGGAGTGGGAGGAGAAGCTTCTTGTTTCTCGTTAGATGGTTTTGATTTGCTTCTATTGCAGTCTGCAAGCCACGGTATGCGCATAGATGTCGTGGGCCCAGCATTTGAGTAGGATGCCCTGATATCCTCACCTGGTTTGGCTCTCCGATCGACGCGGTTACCAGGTTGTAGCTGCTGGGTAAACTCTAGCTTCGAGTAGCCAAATGTGAGAGTTGAGTGCCAGGTAGAGTACCCTAGGTGTAGCCAGCACCGACAGGCAAGTGAAGCGACTTACTGCAACACACCACTATGTCGAGTGTGTTGTTTAAGTGAAGTGGGGGATCCCACTTTGGCGGGGACCCAGGATGGGGACGATGTGATTAAGTGTCAATAAAGATGCCGGTATCCCCTTCATTCTGAGTTGCTGGCTCTTGGCATCCCAGCAATCGTCGTATCAGATCGTTTCGCTTTTTTCCGTCCGATGCCAGCATCCCAACGTCTCTCCCCTGCAGTTGCCTTCAGCGCTACACTCTCTATAAATTAAACAAAAGGACACCTGTGCCGAGGTGTATACCTGACAGCTCGACCGTCGTTGTCGACGATGTCCACCGCGGGATTCAAAACAAGGTGGAACAAGCACGGCAGCTTGTGCATGGACTAGTTTGTAGTGAGTGTAGACTTGCGTTGCATCTACCGTACTCCATCCTGCCCCCGCCCTGAAGCCGGTTTCAAAAGATGGTCAAGAAGACTGGAGGTGAAGGAGGGCGCTGGTGGCTGGCACGACCGGACCCGCGCCTAGGCGTGGCACCACATCCCCTGGTCCACAAAAAAACACTTGACTGGGGTTTTTACCAACAACAGCACCACAACAGGTCAGAAAGAAGATGACTGGGTAGCCATGCTCACGATCTGTATACCCAGCGGGAGCCCAAGTGCACCTAACGACAGGAAACCAGGTGTCAGAGAACTGCCAGCGCATACCAGGCTGCGGGGACCATGGTTTGCTGATCATGGCGTAGCAGACGCTTACTGCCCTTTAGGCCCCAGGGCATACCTGTGCACGTGTCTAACCACTGTTTCACCAAACTTACGAGCCAAAAACTTGCCTCAGTATACGTTGCAATGGAGATACAAAGCCCTTCCCAATATATATTTACTAACATTTTGAGGCAGACGTTAGCACCTTCACACCAGTTGGCACGCAAATGGTAGCTCGTGACTTTTGTCGTTGTCCGCTGGCATTAAACCATTTCCACGCGTGGCCGCAACCTCTAGGTGCCATTACTTCTCGCCCAAACTAGCCATAGCGCACAGACTATAATCATTTGGCCGTCCAAAAATGCACACCGTCGGATAGGGATTTGGTGAGACGGCTAAGTGGAGGAATTTCCTCCTACAGTATCTAATTTCGAGGGCAAACGTCTCCATCCACGTCTCCGACAAATCACAGTAAGATTTCGAGATCTCGCCTGACGGTGGACGAAGTTTTGTTGGATGGCGACCAACATTCGTGATGTTGGAATCTCACCACAACCTGCGCTCTTTATGGTGAACCAATTTGTCATACTGGTGGGCAGCATAACTGCATGAGCTGCGTCAGACCCGGAAGTCCGATTATTTGGCCGCTGACCGTCGATGAGGTTCGTCCCACTATCTGTGTCATGCCTCATTGTCCGTAGCCAGGATAGCAAGCACAATTGATTAGTCGCAGGTTTTGCACAGCCCCGGCCAGGAGTTTTAGGGACGAATCTCCCTAATGCTACGCTGGAACAGATCTCTGCTCCAAAGACTAGGAAGGAGTGCCTGGGGACGACTGAAAGCTTTCTAGATCTGTCCTATTTCTCAGTTATCTACTTAGCAGCTCTCCGGCTCTTTTGTTTTGGTTCGGTTTTGGGAATCTAAACTTTACGATGGACCGCTTACTCGGCGATACGAGCCAGTCGTTCTCTATTCGTAGTTCAGCCAGGATAAAATAGTGCAGGCCTGCAATCCGAATCTCTAGAAATAAATGAATGCAGATTAGACTCGACTTTGACGAACCACGTGTTTGAGCTTGCAGTTATAGAGGGTCCGCGCGACCTTTGCACTGAAAACATCGGAAGAATGAGGGCTAGACTGTGCGCAAGGACTTAAATTGTGCCTCGTACGTACCTGGTGGTCAGACCGTCCACCAACGCAAGGCACTGTGAGGCTGGTGGCTCCGAAACCAGGTGCTGTAAGAAACCGTCCTCCGGCAAGCCGTTCCACTCAACCACTGTTTACTAAGCCACATTCTAAACGGGCTTTCGGACCATCCAAAGGCTGTGATCCGCGCGCCCATTTGATTAATCGGAAGCCCATGGTGCGCAGGGCGTCAAATTCACGTCCAACGTTAACCACCACCACCACCACCACCACCACCACCACCACCACCACCACCAATGCCCACAGTCCTTATCAAATATTACATTATAGCACGAGTTCGGCAAAGAATCAGAAGCCTACTTCCGACTAGGCTGACTTGAATGCTTCGTATTTACTACGTGCAATAACTAAGAGTGGTTCGCCTCCCTGCCCATCTCACTATAAGCAACATCTAACAACAACGCCTTAACAGAATACGATTCCCTTGACGAAAAGGGATGGACCAACTCCAAAAGGGACCAGTGTCTCAGGCTAAACGCAAAATTCACTAAAAAGAATCCTCGAACTTCTTGGACTGAGCACGAGAAGATGGCCAGACTCGGTGGGCATGCTGCTGTGCGTCAAACAGTTTGATGATGTCGGTTGTGAAGAAAATATGCGAGACTGTATTAACAGAGTTTAACTAAAGGCGACTCAGGCCAGATAAAGATGAGTGGTAGATAGTAAAGGCTACAGTGTACCAGTATTGGTAAACAGGTGCAAACCAACAAGCTGCAAATATTAACTCTTAAACCAGACAACTCCCATTACTGGAGGTTCGGGAATAAAAAGGGGTTCAAGTAATAAAATGATGGCAGGGGCATGAACTACGCGGGATAAACTGAGAGGAGATGGCGTGAGTTGGCCTGAAGTAGTCACAAGTCTGTCCAAACAACCGTATGGAGAAGGGGGTATGCAAATGCACAGCCGAAACTGAGGGGGGCGGGGGGAGGTTAGATGCTAGCAGGGTCAGGGCTGATGAGGGTGCTCGACGCCACACAATTGCTGGATCCGCTGCATCTCTCGTGCGTAGGCCGCCTGCAGGGTCTGGACAGTCAACCGATGCTGTTGTTCCTGTTGCTGCTGCTGCTGTTGATGGTACATTAGCAAGGTGGCGGCTGCTGCAGCTTGCTGCTGGCGCTGGTGCTCAGAAAGCGCGGCAGTCAACTGCAGAAGAGCCGCCTGACCGCTGCCACCGCCACGGAGGGACTCTTCGAGTTGATTGGCTGCTGCCACTGAGAGGAGGGGCCAAGAGACGGCTTGTTGTTGTTGCTGCTGCTGCTGCTGCTGCTGAAGTTGCAACAGTCCTGCCAAATTACACAGCTGCTGCTGCTGCTGTTGGAGTTGGGCTGCCGCTAAGAAGGCTGAGTTGGGACAGAAGAGAGCGCCGGTGTCACCAACTGGAAGAAGAGCGGTCATTCCGTTCTGATGCTGCTGCTGGGAGTGGGCTGTGACAGGCAGTTCAAGGCTGGTAAAATTCGTATCGGCTCGCGGAGCAGGCGGCAGTACAGAAGAGACGACTGATGGGCCGGGTTCACTGCTAGCAACACCGCGGGCTACAAAGGTGGGGGTGGTAGTGGCAGCAGTGGAGTCCACAGTCAGTCGGGGAGTTATAAGTTCCTGGTCAGAGAGTGGATCGCAACCCGAAAGATGGACGGATAGGGACGAAGTGACAGCAACGTTAGCAGAAGAGTCCGGCTCTAAGACAGATCCACTATCGCCGATACTGTTCGAACTCACAGGGGTCTGGGAGCGATCCACGCCGTCGGCAGCATTTGACGTGGGCGGTGACTCAGTCGCAGACGCAGCTGAGGAAGAGGAGTTTGTTAAGGTGATTCTGACCGACAAGGCGGATGAGACGGTAGATGAAATACCGTCAGCCGACCCTTCAGAAGATGGTACGTCAACAGCTGCCGACGATGTCACTGTTTGGCCTTCCGAACATGCAGAGGAATCCAGTCTTGGACGCTTAGCAGCCTCTGAGCTAGAGTGGAGTGGACTGGAGTTGATCTGACAAGTGGAACCTAAAAAGAGAATTATAAAGTAGGGGACAAGATAAAGTAACAGCAAGATTTCCTTAGCCTAAGAGGTAACATTGCAAGAACTAAGAATTCAACAGCGTTGTCGAGGCCATCAAAGCGTTTACGACTGGGGACCTTCGTAAGTCGACTGCATTGACTTATTATGAGTGGACGCGGAGGTTACAGTTTGTGGGGTCAAGCTAAGGTCAAAAGCACTACTGCCAGTGACGGACGACGGCTGTTGTGAGGTTGGGTACAAATGAGGGAACCGTTATATCGGTGGAACATCGTTTAACTTACAACACTTTCTGCTCAGATCGATAGTAGACGTAGGCGGACATTTAACGCCAACTAAAAGAAGACGCACACTAAAAGCCTACAGCACTCAAAGTCATTCCTGCATGCAGCATCAATTCTGGCTTTGAGGCACCGGAAATTAGCCCACAGCGGGCAGACAATACTGAAAACGCTGACTGAGCAGGGTCGCAAAGAATAAATAAGAAAACTGAGGGGAAGGTCGAAGTGTACATCGGTTAGGTAGCAAAGCTAGGCAGTCAGAGAACACATTGAAAAGCTAGGTCGCTGGCTGTGAAAACTGGTCTTATTTAATCCAGCCAAAAAGCGGTAGCTCTTGGACTCGATTTAAATCGTTAGAGTAGCCTTAAAAGGGCGATAGGCAGAATCTCTAATGGCCAGATTAACACTTGCTGAAGGAAACAGCGTGAAAATACTAACAGTGACATATTTTCGGTTGGATATGGCGGTCTAGAGATCTAGTACTGACAACTAGGCCAGTCCAATAGGAGCCTGGGTGATGCAAAAAAGAAACAAAAGTAATCGACAAGGTGTTAGGACACATCGGGATATGAAGAAGTGGTGGGTACTCCTGCTTAGAAGATTACAGAAGCGTACGAAGCAGAAAAGTTGTGGACGGCAAAAGTAGCGAGAAAAGTTGAAAAGAAGAAAAATAGCCGTCCTGAGACGCATCCATGTGGTTCACAGAGATGGCATTTAGATGACGTGAACGGTAACTGCTGGCGAGCAGATCTGTCAACAAGTCGCCATGCAGAATAACACTAACATGCCTTGTGTTTGCGGTTGGTTGGCGATCGGTCGCCAGGCCAATAAAACAACGATTAATGATAAAACCCATGACAACTGTGACAAAAACAGTTTTTTTAAAGAAAACTTCTTCTGCCCAGGCGAGAAGTTAGGAACCACTAGATTACATAATTTAAAGCTTCGTTCAGGCAATACCTACGGTCAGAATTCCTAAAAGCACTGGAGAGATGTCCTGTGGTGTGCGAAGTAAAAAGAGTGCAATTTAAATCCACGAGTTAACATGGTACTGCCATATTCGCAATATTATCACAACGCTGACACAGTCCAGATTAATTTCCACACAGCCATTCATGGGGTATGAATGGGCAACTGGCAGCCCGAACATCTGAACAAAGGTCCAAATTGTTCCTTACATAAAAAATTAACAGACCTCGGGCATCCATATCCACATACGTGACATCGAACAAGCATCGGAAACGAGATTCACTGGCCGAGTCTCTATTTGTTTTGCTTCGGATAGGTTGTTACGACAGGTGGCGACAGCCTACATACAGAGGATAAAACGTGAGCTATCACTGTAAAAATGCCTATAAGACCGAGTGAACCAGAGTTTCTTCAAAGTTCGGCCGCACTATTGACCACCTGTATTCCCCAGTACTCTAGGGCCATTCGAAATTTGTATGAAGCTCTTTAATGGGCACTGAGCTCACTGAAAAAAACACAGTGCCGCCGTGAAGCCGTCGTGAAACCGAGGGATGTCAACGAATTCTTCCTTCACGAGAATAATGACACTTCTCAAATATACGGATTTAAAGGTTTCCAACAGCCTGAAAATATGTGAGGGAATCTGCTTCCTAGCTTAGTCCCCCGTGAAAAGATTCACTAGTAACAAGGAGAGGTTCGACAAGTGCATCAGTTGTTAGCAGGAGGACAAGGAGCACTAATATGGCCATTTCCGACTTATTTTTCTCTCTCAGTCAGTCGCGCTTGTGATTGTTAGTCATCATGCGACCACTTGCATGGCCTGTAGACTCTCGGCGTGTGTGACTGAATGTTCTAGACCAGCAGGTAGTGCGGTGCCGGAGAGGTGCTGCTCGATGATGGACTTCGAATCTCGGGTACGGGACCCGGTATTGGGTTATCACTAGCTGATGTGAGCAAATAACAAGCCAGAAATGGCCACTACAGCGTTCCTTGTCTATGTCCACAAAACTTCCCGATCTAAGATTGCTAGTCGCTATCCAACCGTTTGTCTGGACTGTAGACTCTCAGCTCCAAGACAAGACGGAAATGTTCATTTTCCCACTGCAAGTACGATAGATCCATAACTGCCAGTTGCAAGTGACTAAGTCATTATGTTTTCCGGTGGAAATGAACGCACAGAAAGAAGTTACGAAGTTGCTCAAAAAATGTAAGTTAGCTCTAAGTCAGGCAGTAAGGATAACGATTATGACAGTGACATTAGGGATGAATAACTGCAAATACAAGGGCTATGTAGAGGTTGGAGAAAGTCCTGCAGTTAAATTAACAGGAAACGACAGTTGGCCTGTCTACAAAAAAGATGTGCGCTGCTGGTTAACTACCGAAGGTCGCTCGCACTGTGACGTGACCATCACACGAGATGCCCAACTGACAGCGGTTACAATATCTCCGAGGTTGCCTTTCGTGATCTCTTAATTCTTTACATACGTCAGCAAAAGGCAACTTAGGCCGCCTTTGATAGGGTTTCAAAACTTAAAGCTTCACTTGGCCAGAATATATTCCTCAGAGCTGATGCTAAGGGGCACAGCAGCCGCTTCGGATTTCGACGCACGGAAATCCTTATTTTTCAGTACACCCTCCGCTAGTTTTTTTGGTTGAATAAAACCACATATCGTGATCATCTTCTGCATTCTAAAGTACGTAGAGTGCTGCCAGAAAATCCGACGTTCTATAAGGAAATTGTTTGCTCTTGGTGCCGTTTCATTCAACCGACTGCCGATTGAGGAAATAAGGCGCAGCAACAGCTGACTTCTTCGATCCGTTACCGTTCTATTTCCTTATCTAGTTTAATTGGACCGCCCTAGGTCAACGTCTTTGTCCGCAATTTGGCAAGCTCCTACTAGACTTCCTTGCGCCTAAAACGGGCCACGCGTAAGACGCGCTGGACTAACACGGGGACTGAATAGGAGCCTGGCAGGCGTTATCAGGAATGGCAATATTGGGACGCGGTGGCACGCCATGTTGCCGGCTCACTCCGTGCCAACTGGGATCTCTGCTGCTTCCCTCCCTCCCGATTTGTGTTGTGGTACAAAATCCTAATCAGTGTCCGTTTTGGGCCAGAGGGTGTGGTGGTACCCGCTAAGGTGCGGGTTTTCATCGCGCCAGCCACTTGCGCCCCTCCCTAGCTCCGGTCTTTTTGACCCTGTCTTCACACCGGATCCAGGTGGAGGAGGAGAGTGCGGTAGATTCTTCGCAAGTCTACCATCACGGCAAACTAATTCACGCGTAAGTCACCGTGTCCGCTCTCACCCCGCTGTGGAGTACACAATGGACAGAGTCGAAATCGACGATTGGATTGTCAATACACCTGCACTACTTACTTCAGTGCATCATATCTGAGTAGTAGAAATAAAACCATATTATTTGGTTGACTTACTGCCTCATTAACCCTGAAAATGGGACTTATTTATGTCTCGGTTGTCATCATCAGACACTTACATTCCACAGGGTCAACGGAAGCACGGAAAGTTATGGGGTTAGGGAAGGAAGTGGTGTTTTCGGTGGCATTACTCCTTACCAAATTCTGCCAAAACGTACGGACTATAGTCATTTGGCCGTCCAAAAAATCTCGGTTGTCTGTGCTTCACCGGACAGGGGTTAAAAGAGACGGCTTAGTGAAGGAACTGTCTCCCACAGCATCCAAACTCGAAGGCGGACATCTTCATCCCCGTCTCCGACACATCGAAGTCTTAAGATCCCGCCTTACGGTGGACGAATCCTCGTTGTATGGCGACCAACATTCGTCATGTTGAAATCCCACCACGACCTGCGGTCTTTTTATGAAAAACCAATTCACCAGTGCGGTAGGCAGCACGACAGTATGGGTTGAGACTTCCTATTCGTCAGACCAGAAAGTCCGCTTAATTGGACGCCAGGCCTGCGATGTGGTACGTCTCACAACCCACCACCTGTTGACATGCGCCATGGTTCGTAGTAGAGACAAGTCTTACTAGTAAATCAGTCGTTAGTGAAACGATTGACCTTAATTCGCCTACCCTTCTGCGTGGTTTTCTAAGCCGTAGCAGTTCCGGCGAGAACTAGGCCAGGGGCAGCATGACATCTTCTGTGCCTCAACTAATGATGACAGTGCTTGCAGAAATGTCAGCCATTGATGAGAGTGCGGGCAGGTTGTGTGACACCTGTTTAGTTTATGCAGGTAAAATCCCTCGATCGGTTATTATTCATGGGCAGACGCATGCGGTTAGCACTAGAGTATACAGATGGGGTAAAAAATTCAACCACTTCCGCACCAAAGTGCAATTATTATTACTAGTACACTTCTCACACGGCGAGGGACGGACATGAAAAAATGTACCGTCAGTGTTGAAAATGCGGTCACAGAATAGTCACACAATGTGGAGTAAAGGAGTTAGTGAAGATTCCAAGTGATTACTCACCTGGTTGTGCTGCAGCCTGCTCGTCCGAACTGGCGGATGCCGTGGTGCTGGTCGTCGTATGGCTGTCAGCACCTACAGTAGTAGTAGCAGCAGCATCAGTAGCCGTGCCAATGGAAGAGGCAGGCGGAACAGATTTGGCTGGTGAAAAGATGGAATCGTCAGGGGCGGGTAACAAGCGACCCTCTTTAGATGCATCAAAGCAGAAATTGGCTGTGATGCATTCATCGGAGATCGTGACTTCAGTGCCGGGATTAATTTTGCTCATGTAGGCGCGGATCTCGCTAACGCTCTTGAGTCGGTGACCATCAGGCCTGTGAGTTAAAGAAAATGGGAAGGACAAAGAGAGAGTGATATTTCCTCCGTATCTCTTTAAAGGTTTTCGGCATGCATGTAGAAATTCCAACTCTGCTGGGGACTCCAACACGACTAAGAAACTGCTGGTGATCGAGTCGAGAGAATCATCTCCTTGTAAGCACTCGGAGATAAACAACATCCCTGATGAACTGAAAGGTCGTTGAAAAATAAGCGGCAGCAACCGAATTGCTAGGTCGCCCATCTGCAGTTCAACCCTCGACTACCCAGTGATTCCCTCAGGTAGCGTTGCAAAGACTGTAAAAGGCTGCCACCATCGAAGCAAGAATGACTAGCTGGCAACCTTCTTTAGTGCCTTAGTCGAGGATGTACTTAGAGTGCAGGGTGAGGAAGGACAATATCGCATACATTCGATAGACGATCTAAACAAATGATGTAGACAAACTGAGCCCAAAGTTTGCATTTGGAGGAACAAAACACTGACGTCCGCCTTAGTAACACTTTCCTCTACCGAGAGATACCCTGACAATCCTTTCGTCAGACATAAGAACTAAAACTATGCATCCATAACTAAGACAGTGCAAAAACTGTTGTGAGATCGCGCAAAAATACCTAACAAGGTCAGTAAGATTAAGATGAGTCTGAGAGACGGTGAGAGGATACTGAACGAACTTACTTGTACTTGGTACGGCTGCGATCATGCCTGATCTAGTCGGCCCCGATGATGTTCGACCTCGCAGTCATAGTTTAACAAGGTAGAGAATAACTAGTCGTCCCTAGCATGTCTGACGAAGTGGCACACACCCGGTTGAAAGAGTCGAGGACGAACTCCGTAAGAGGGATCTGGGTTTCTAACAGTAAATCCTTCAGAATTCGTCGGCACCAAAGTACATCACCTGTCTTCCAAGTCACGACTTACGGACGCGCACCAGACAACGAACCGCAGAAGCGAACAGGCACTGCGTTCTGCATTGACGTGTGCCCAATTGGGAGCAGTTTGGTTTTTGTGTGCCCGCGCGATAACGCACATGGACAATTCCGAATGCGTCCTTCCTACCCTCGCCCCCAATTAAAGAATTGCAACGATTCAATAATCTGAAAATCTCCATTTCAGTTCGTGTTTATTTCAAAAAAATGAAGTAGGCAGAGGGCAAGTGGGGTCGGATTAAAGCAGAAAGGGGGCAAATAGGCATCCCTCGGGAATCCGAGTTCCAAAGGTGAAACAACAAATAGGAATAAATTCGGCCTGTTACCGGGAACAGGACGACACAAATAAAAAAAACTGCACTTTGTTGCCAATTTTCTTACAAAGACGGTGAAAAAAATAAAACAAAAAACAAAGATACGATGAAAAGACCGTTACCCCATCACGACATCGACTTGTCATCCCATCTAAACCCCCTAACCATAGAGAAACGTCCTTGATCACTTAGTAAGTAAGGCTTATAGCGTGTGTCCCACAATCGGAGCCAAAGTTCAGATGCGTTTATGAGCAACGCTGTATATCAGCAAAACTAATTGTGACACGGAGGCACTGGGGGTCAAAGTTGAACGCAAAAAATGAAATAAAACTGGACCAAAACCGAGCAATCTGAATCATGAGAGGCAGTTAATAAAAACTGCCGCTAAAAGGGAAAAAAGATACGCCTCATTAAATTCGAAAGCGACTAGACAGGAAATCCAAATCCTGACGGTAAATCGGGCAGACTTGTTCGAACGCATGTGGTGATAAGGCAGGATTCTCCAATGCCTTCATCCAAGTCAGCACCCAAGCACATGTTTGACTTGGCTATTGTTACGCTGCATGCTGACATAATGAGACACCAGCGAAGGAAAGTAGCAGTTTTGCTAAGAAAACATATGTTGTTCCAATCTGAAGCAAATAACAGTCGGTTGCTCGCCTGGAAGACGGTGGTGCCGAGTAGCTGATGGTCGAACATCTTTGGTTCAAATTGACGCATAATTATAGTTCAGTTTTAATCACCTCACACACAAACCAGACGGACGCAGCGCACTCATTCTTACCTAAGAAACGGTAGTAAAGATATGGTAGCTCCAAGTATTACCAAGCACAGAGAACAGGCTGCGTGAGAAGTCGATGCATGATACGACCCACGTGTAGCATACATGAGATGGCGCCGAATCTCACGCAATCACAAACCAGTGGAGTAAGGAAGCGAAAAAATGAGGCTGCTTCAGCTTGATTCAACGCAGGTCCTGACTGTAAAAGGGCGAACATGCATGAAGCCGCGACGACGCGCTAACAGTTGCGCCTTTAAAGGTTACCAACTGAGGCCTTACTCAGGTTTGAGTGCCAAGCTACAATGATGTCCCCTTAATGTGGGCCTTGGGATTCAAGACCCCTCTCATTCCCTGTCAGTAAGCGAGTCCATGCCTCGTCGTTTGCTATGAACAAACATTCGTATGGTATGAAGGCGTGGTCGTCGGAAGAGAGCGGCACAGATCCTGGTTAACTTCGGCACGACGGTATTAAACCTGAAGTTCCGGAAAACAGATCCGAGATGTCAAGGTGGATGGGGACAACTAGACAATCAACTACATAGGACTATAACTCAGAAGCCACTAAAAGATTTGGCATGTGATTCCTCTCCAAAGGAGCACGCAACAAGACGACCAGTGAACCTAAAGTATGCTAATGGGCTCAAAGCGGGCTCAGCCTTCCTTCCATACAATTACACAGTTGAAAATAAAGTAGAAGGATGACGTGAACGAGGAATAAGTGTGAGGGAATGCTTATTATGGTGTAAGACACGCGGAGGACGATGCAATTAATCAACAACTTACGAAATATAGACAACAACGTCTGCATGCCTATCGACAATACGTGTCCATAAGCTATTCCACTGTGTCGGCAGTGTGAGTCCACTGGCAAGATGTTTGCCCTTCCTAACTGGTCCCGTAGAGACTGCAGAGGTAGCAGTGTTTGCAACCGCCACAGCGTCGAGAGCCAATCGTGCTGCGCGGGTTCGGCGACTGATAACGCTACGCGCCTTCACACTGGCACTGCCTTGCGATGTTGAGGTCGCCGCGAGGAATACCTCCGCAGCAGAAGAGAGCGGCTGCTGATAGGCTATAGCTGCGGCCCGAGCTGCGGCTGCATATGACGCGACTATCCGGTCGGGCGGACTGGTGTCATTTCCATTGTCTGCCGCTGACGACTTCGTCCGCTCGGCCGTCTGGTGTTCATTGCAGGTCGTTCCATCCTGCTGTGACTGTATGGGAGTGAGGGTAAAAGGACCTGTTCAGACTGCATGTAAAATGCCAGCACAAACTGGGGACATGGCAGGCGGCAGGTAAGAAGGCTGAAAGTTGAGACAGAGGGGCTCGTGCGACAAGCGGAGGGGTGGTGAGGGATAGCCCCATACCAGTGACAACTCCAGGAGCGAAACAGTGTGCAATGGAAAGGAGTGAGTGGCCGGATTACGAAAACCAAAAGTGAACAAGTACGCATGAGCAACATGGAGTCAGTAGCAGCAAGAGCGACAGCAAAATAGGGGCAACGCCGCGAAAAATAAACTACATGACGCGCAAGTTTGGAAAATGAGGCGGCAGGAGACAAGTAATTCACAAAAATAAGAACGTCCATTACATGTGTGTTTTGAGTGGTTGAAAGGGGGTGTTTTGCAGGAGAGGGGGATGTTGAGCTTACTTGACGAACCGCTCTCGAGAGGTCGGCATTCAGGTGTGAGCAGGCGAAACATCCCTGCCTGAAGACAAGAAGCGCCAATTGCAAGAGGAAAAGTCGGAAAAAAGGAATGAAAAGGAGACAATAACGGGCACACACGCAAACGCGCTCGGGATGAAAAAGAGATCTGGAAACATAGCGGTGAGAGGTGTAGGCATGAACGGCAACATCAGTGTTAAACATTGAACAGCAGTAGCAACCAAAAAAGACAAAAGGGGAATTGGACAGAAGCTTGCAGGCATTTGAGTTAGTTCTTCCAGGAACAAAGGGGGGGGGGGGCACAAATAAGGACAAGCGGGGAAGGGGCATGCAAGGATTTCCTTGGCAAATGAACCCACTCATAAACTTATGAACTGACTACTGAGTCAAAATTCAGCACAATCAATTAGAGGATAAACATAAGGATCTAATGCCTCAAGCTGACGACTATGTACCGAACACAGCAAAACAAATGTGGGACTAGCTTTACCAAATAAGATCTCTGATGGCGCACGAGTGCATGCAGGCGAAGTTAGGCAACATTACAACAGCAACAGCGCCCTGTGAATGAGATTTTACCTCACTCAAATGCGAAATGTACTTTCGTTCCAGAGATGGTGAAAGATTAGGTAATGAGGTGTGTTGCAAAGGTGGACATTCGTACCGGGCCACTAGGCGGGGTTAGTCAGTCTAGACTATCCAGTAAAAAAATGACTGTACATATTTTCGGCTAGAAATTACATCAGCGGCAGCATTAATGAAATGGGAAGCAATTTTTCTGTCATAGATTCTCTTTGTCACATATTCCTAGCTCTAAGGCTAGTCCTGAATACTTGATTAGCCTATTTGGAAAAGGTGAGTCTTGTTAGAACCCCGTGTCCGGCATCCGGCTAGTGATGTTCAATACTTGCAACAGCAACATATGAGGCATTAATTTTTAATCCTCAACGAGGAGACCCATGATCTACCCAGGGCAAACTGAGATGATTATATCTGGAAAAGCTCGAATACCATAAGAACTCTGTATGAAGGGCCACTTTGGACCCACCACGATGGGCTTAATGAACTCCCTCATAGGAATTACGAAACGTTATTGTTAATTCAAACAAAAGTAGCAAAAAGGAATTCACCTTAACTTGAAAAGTTAGTTTAGTTCGGCTTCATTTGCGTACATAACAGACAACTATTCCATGCCAATTTGTTGTGTCACTGTTCGCTCTGATGCTAGGCTTTTACACACTGAATCTCATTCACCATTGCTCACAAATTCAGTCTGGCTTAACTAGCAGAGATCATCGTGGTCAGAAAGCAAACATCGGACGTCTAAGTGTCCAACTTACTAACACATGACTGCGCACTATATCCTGCGACGTAGGCTGGGGAGTAGTGGTGGTTATAGCACATTGACCTCACTGAGATGACAAAACTGTGACAGTATAGGTGGCTTGAAAAGTAGTTCCCTTGTAAAGATAACTGCAATTAGGGGAGCAGTGCGCAGATGATCATGTACTCGACACGACGAGTGCGGGCAGGTGGGTCTTCTATCGACCTTCAGAAACTTGACTAGCACACATGACTGGAGTGGGGCTTTGAACAGGCAAGTATGTAATTCGAGATCAAGAAGAAGTGATATACCTGGTGCGAAAGAAGCAAGCAGCCAAACTACAGGTATTGGGCCGGTGAAGCGAAACAGGATCTGCAAACTTGTGCAAGAGAATTAACATTCCAAACCCAGCGTTGCAAAGGACAAGCGCGATCGGGCAAGCAAATTTAAAAGTGGTGAGACAGGCTGCAAACCTAGCCAAATACCTGATTTGTCTTGTACAAAACCGGAGCACGAATGATTGTATGTGAGTCGTCGCTTTTAGGGGCGGCTGAAGAGGAAACTGGATCCAGTTGTTGCTGTTGTTGTTGATGCTGCTGCTGCAAACCAATAAGGGGCAGAATCTGCATCAGGGCGGCATAGTTTGCTGCAACATCAATACCCAATTGACCGCCAGCAAAAGGATTGACTAGAGAGTTTGGAGCAGCAACTGGGGATAGCAAGTTTGGAAGGAGATAAGGCGAGGCGAGTCCAGAAGACCCAAGCCCGGAGAGCGTGGATACCACTGGGGTCCCAATTGCAGGAAGGGTAGGCTGGTGGGCCAGGAGGAGAGAGGCCAACTGTGTTTGCAGGTCGGCAGCTTGGGACTCCGAGACTTGGCTGGAGGATAGGACGGAGTTCGGAACACCCGCACTTCCGGGAGCAATATTTACGAATGAGTGAGGGATCACCGGCGCGGTCCCCGTACCTTGGATTGGACCGTAGGAAAAGAAGCGTGGGAACATGGCTAAGCCAAGCAAACCGCTGTCGGAGACTTGAACAATGATGACAGCTGAAATATTAGACAAAGTTGGGGTGTTCATATGGGTTCTTTGAAATCGGCGTCAAAGCAACGTTAAGTGAATAGAAGTTAGCATAGTAAAGCAAGATGGCCAAGGATAAAGTGCCTGAAAGACTTAGATTTATGAACTACTAATGTTCAACGACCAGATGCAGGCGACAGATGAAGACATAAACAGAACATAAGCTCGTTTTGACAAAGATTTACGTTTTCGGCCATAAATTAGACAGGCTTTGCCTGATACACAAACAGACCAGTGAAGATCTTGTTCGGATTCCCACATACGACAGTTCGACCATCGATTTCGATGATGTCCACCGTGTGTCCCACAGCAGGTGGGAGCAGGGACAGTGACCTGCGCAGGGGTTTATAGTGCGGGTAGACTTGCGCTGCATCTACCTACACTCTCTCCTCCTCCACCGCCTGAACCCGGTGTCAAGACAGAGTCAAGAAGACCGGAGACGGGGGAGGCCGCAGGTGGATGGCTCGGACGGATCCTCGCCTTGGCGCTCCACTCCGCACCCCCTGGTCCACACACAAATGACCAGGATTTTGACCACAAAACAATGGGGTGATGGCAGTGGTCCAGTTGTGCGACGATTGTCGACAACAGGGTCTGCCAGCGCACCCCGCAAATGTTGGCATTTGTTATTGCGCACAGATAACGCCTGCCAGAGTACGATGTGGCCCCCGTGCTGGTCCAGCGCATCTAACGCGTGGCCCGTCCCACATAACCAGCCAGACGACAACCTTAAGCCGACGTCAAAAGATGGAAACAAAATAACGCTACAGATGATATTTCATTTACGTTTCCGTAACTGCTGAAGAGAACTTGTGTATTGTAGAATTCAGTGGCGGCTGCGAGGGCCTATCTGAAGTACCGGCTCTCCTCAACCAAAAAAAAAAATCTAAGGGCGTACGAAACCATAGAGGTGAGCAGTTACCTTATTCCGCTGATTGCAGATAAATCAGATTCTAAACTGTACAGTTTTAAGCAACTTTAGTCCAGACTTGCTAGAACAATCAGGATAATATAAAATAGTTTAAGACTCTGGAAAAGTCATCAGTGAGGTTTTAAAGTCACTGAATAGAAGGCGAAGATTGTTAGATGTCATAACCTAGGCACAAAAGGCGTTTAAGTCTTTGAAGCGACAAAGGAAATTTTTCCAGGAACTACAAAGCGTTTACCTAAGACTTTCTGAGCCACAAATTAAATGAAAATGCCCAGTCTTAAATGATAACGAGTTACTAACGAGAAATAAGGCAGAGGTTGCGTATTTTCCGATCTGACTGTCCTAAAGTTCAAATCCCTCAAGCTGCCCCCGAGGTCCGACCAGTGTTCCGTTCAAAGAATAGTTCTGAAGTAAATGGAGAAGGCTTGAAACTACCGTGAAACGAACTACTTGTTAAAAGCGTGCATAAAAACGCGAATACAGTACCGCCAAGAGTTCCAAGAGGAATCTTAAAACCATTTCACGCTGACGGTCAGAGCAGTCATCATGCACCTCGATAAAATCGCACGGACACGCCAAAGGCGGGCAAAGGGGGTGTAGTAGATACGCAGGAGGGAAATGAAATGCGCTTAAGTAATATTGCTGAGCAGTTTAAAAGGTATAAACAAAAATTGAAGGTCTGGCTAACGATTGTGAAAAGCATAAAGGTACAAGAAATTTAAAAATGTACAGCGATTCTGCAGAGGGACGACAAAAGCACTTGAAGACGCGCGAGACAATGTTCTCGGTTTCTAAAGGTACTGACCCAGAAACACTAGCGAGGGAGGGCAAGAAACCTCCATCTGGTTTGATGCCATGAATGACTATTCATTACGCGGGTCAGTTTTAATACTGCTACCTGACTGACCAACAGATACCACGGAGTACACGAGCACGCCCGACATAAGACACACTTCGATGACAATAATGACGCTTTTAATGTGTGCTCCTTAACACTAGAAGGTGTAGGTTAAATCAGTTTGCACGATTTGAGAGAAAACCTTGGAGAGAAAAGCGACCTAACTCCATTGCACCTGGAAACATTAGGCAGCTATTCTGGACAGTCGCAGCAGGTTTCTGATGTAAAATAACAAATTTTGTGGTCAACTAAAGTGAGAAAGCTCCTCGAACGTGTGTATACGACGGTCTCGCGGTCAAGAAAACCTTTAATCCAGAGGATTTCGTTTCCAGCTAAATCATGTGATTTGGCAATAAGCAAATAGCCTTGCCGACGTTTAGAAACATAGCTTTACTATCTTCACGGGCGTCAAACTCTGCACAAAATTTATATTTCACTGATGATATCTGGGAGGCATGATCGTCAATCATTAAGGACAGCGAACTGATTTTAACATATCGGCTCCAGCCCGTCCAGAATGTAGCGCAGAGGGCTCACTGCGCTGATAAAACTGATCAAGCGTTGGCTTGCACATCGCCACGGTGGTTCTAAGGATCACCCAGTAATTATTATGTAGACGCTTCTCGTTAACCGCTGTTAACTTGGACTGAGACACGTTATCAAAATGGGTAGTAAAAACCAGATCAACTACTATGAATTCGTTTTCTGTGGCCGCCATTCCAGAGTTTACATCATATATACTCCCTTAAGGCGGCAAGCTTACTTATCAATTTATCTGCCAATCCGGACAAACGTTAATGGCGATCGGCTCCGACCGGGAACATTGAGAAAACCCATGATCTTGTAGAGCAGAATCGGAGTCGCACAGTAAGAACAGCAGAAAACAGTACCAAACTCTTGATTCATTCAATGCACTAAACAGACAATCATACCCTTCAGGTAGTTCGGAAAACCCGCACCATAGTCAGAGTGACAACACAATGCCAAAACCCCAGGGTGCGCAACCAGAAAACCAAACTAAAAATACGTATTAGACAGAAAAACAAACCCGAGCATGGTAAGAGCATGAAATACAGTAGCAAATATCGAAAAAGGTCAATATCCAAAGATAAAAAATAAAAAGACCGATCGCTCTGTAGAGCAGCCGGTGGTTTACCGGGAAGTGTCGTTCTGCTTGTCACAAGAGAGAAAACTTCTGGATAACAAATAGAGGATACTGAACATGCGGTTTCACGATGAAACCCCCAGATTCCGCCGTATGTGAGCTTAACGCTAGAGCGGCTGTCAGCAGTCTTAAATCTGAAATGTAATATATATATATATATATATATATATATATCGTAAAGGTATTATACCGTACTCTCGACACAGATGTTGTCTAATAGCCCAGACACGTTTTTCGCCGATATTTTGCCGCTGCGTAACAGCTGCGTGACATAGCTGCGAGGAGTTCGAATTTTCAGTGGGACCCTCAGCGATCTCTATGCGGTTTCTGGTGTATGAACTCCATGGAAGAATCAAGTGAATAATTTGAGAAATGACTCGGTGCAGGACTTGGAGTTAAATCTCCGGGACATGACTTTCTAGGGTCAGAACCGAAATTTCAATGAACATTCGGGTTGAAGACAATCAACAGCTGTGAAATAACCACGTAATGCCCATTCTACAAACAAGTGGTACTACGAATAGTATGAAATCAATATGGTGAAGTATTATACCGTACTCTTGACACACATACTTACTAAAAGCCCAGACACGCGTTTCGCCGATATTCTCCCGCTGCATGACACAGCTGAGAGGGGTTCGGCTCTTCGATGGGACCCCCAGAGTTATTTATGTGGTTTCTGGTATATGAACTCCAACGAATAATCAAGTGCATAATTTGAGAAATCAATTAGTACAAGACTCGGAGTTAAATCGGACAAGCGGACAAGCGAGCAAGCAGACAAGGCACCGTACCAACAAATGGTTCTTAGTCTTTTTGTGAGAAGGGTTTATTTGGCGACGGAAACTAGACAGCTAACGGGACACAAAGATGCTTAAGCGGAGAAAACAACAAGCGAACAGGCAGTTTGGAAAAGCCAACTACGCGCACTACGTGGAAATGTAGCGGCCGAATAAGGAGGGGCTCCGGAAAACTCGGGAAGACCTGAGTTGGGATGTGATGGCTTGCGGTCTTTCGTATGGGTATCTAAAGAAAACTCCTCTAAAAGTCGTGTAACTCCATCATACACACTAGCAAAGGAAAGGGGTGGAGTGGACATGATAGCGACGAATGAACTGATACAAAAGTTTATTAGTAAAACGTTGGTGACACGGTAGAAAAATAAGTTTAATGCGATCTATGACGTAAGGTAAAAATAGTGGTACAGACTACTAATCAACTAAGAGAGTACAACTTAATCCTATGATTCGATAAAACGTGAAACACGGGAAAAGATTAGTTAATGGTGAAATGAACGAGGCGGAAAACGAATCGGCAGTTCAGGAATACGGAAACGATAAGGAAAAGGGAACTTAGCGGAGGGCGTGTCGACAGGCGTCATCTCCGATCCACGTGACCCAAATTCTGAAAAAGGGGGGGGGCGGGAAGTAAAAAAAGGTCTGTTTAAAACAATCGGTCGTCACATCGCCCCCCTATTAAGGTACAGCACTGTCCTCAGTGCTGGTGGGGCCGATGGGGGAAGGGACGGAGACCTCGATGGCCACCGGGGGAACTAGGTCTAGGGGGATGACGGGTAGGGAATCGGGAGTGCAATTGGGTAGGCGCCCTCGGTAAGGTTTGAGCTTAGAAAAGTGTGCCGTAAAGGAGGGGAAATCAGGGTGGACGGCGTCGCGTAACAGGAATTTGGTGGGGGCGAGCACGTCGAGTACGGTAAACGGTCCTTGCCATGGGTGGTGGAGTTTAACGGAGTTGCCATGTGGGGGTACGGGGTTGTAATGCATCACCAGGTCGCCAACTTGGTGTGGGGTGCCAGCGGTGTGGCGGTCAAACTGCTCTTTTTGGTGCTGGGTAGCAACTCTCAGTGCAACGCGGGCAGCGTTATGAGCTGAGCGTATGACCCCTCGGAGGTGCGTGGCGTACTCGTGTAGTGTTGACGGGTCGGGTGTGGGTAGGGGGTAGCGAAGGTCGGCCGGGAGGCGTAGGTCACGGCCAGTCCAGAGGTAGTGAGGTGTGAACCCTGTGGAAGAATGTACTGTTCCGCGATAAGCTAACAGGCACAGAGGTAGATGTGCGTCCCAGTCGTGCTCGTGCCCGTCCCGTGAGAATGCCAGTAAGAGGTCGTGCAGCGTGCGGTTGGTCCTCTCTACAAGGCCGTTGCCTTCGGGGTGGTACGGGGTTATTCGGGTTTTGCGGATCTCTAGGATCTCGCAGACGTCTTGTAGGAGCTGGGACTGAAAATTAGCGCCGCAGTCGGAATGGAATGACAAGGGGGCGCCCCAACGGCTAATCCAAGTGCGGCTAATGGCGTTTGCGATTGATGCCGCGTCCTGGCGGAGGAGTGGCACTGCTTCCACCCACTTGGTGAAATAGTCCACCATGACTAATACATACTCAAACCCGCGTACCGATATCGGAAAGGGTTCTACAATGTCCAGGCCGACACGCTCTCCCGGAAAGCCAGTGGTCATAGGTTGCAGCGGGGCACGCGGTGAGGGGGAGGGGGGTTTAAACGTAGCGCATGTGGTGCAGGACTGACAGAAGCGTTGTACGGCCGAACGTAGTTGAGGCCACCAGAAGCGGCTGCAAGCAGCGAGTTCCGTGCGGCGTTGGCCGCTGTGCCCGAGCTGTGTGTGGAGATCAGTGAGTACGGACTCTATTAAACATCCGGGAACGACGGGACGTAGCCGGTTGGAAGTGGGGTCGCGGAGAAACAATATGTCATTCTCTACGGTGAGGTAGGGCCACTGGTTGAGCAATAGGCGGGCACTCTGGCTGGCGCCTCTCATTTCCCGCTCGGTAGGTTTGGGAAGCCCTAGACTCATGTGGCGGTAAATAGTGGCCGTGTTCGAGTCCGTTTTTTGCGCTGTTGCCCATTCGTGGCGTGTCGGCTCCGACACGACAATAGCGTTAACGCCGGCTGTCTGTATATCGGGTTCTGCGTCAGTGACGTGGGGCAAGCGGGAAAGGGCATCTGCGTTGCCATGCTTGTGGCCCGGGCGGTATTGGCATTCAAAGTCAAAATCATGAAGGAACTCCTGCCAGCGTGCCAGCTGGTCCATGGGGTCCTTGAAGGACCGCAGCCACTGCAGGGCCCTGTGGTCTGTGCGGAGAACGAAACGTCGTCCGACTAGCAGGTGTTTGAATTGACGCAGGAACACAACGATCGTCAGGAGTTCGCGACGGAAGGTACAATAATTCCTCTGTGGTTTAGTGAGAGTATTGCTCGCGAAGCAGATCGGGTGCTCTACTCCGTTCGCGTCGGCTTGGGAGAGTACGGCGCCGATGGCGTACCCACTGGCATCAGTGTCTAATATGAATGGGGGTGCGTCGTCGTCAACGTTTGGGAGGGCAAGTAGGGGAGCCGAGCACAGGGCGGCGCGGAGGTCGGTGAACGCACGTGCACAGTCGTCCGACCAGACGAAGGGTCTGCCTTTCTCCGTGAGTTTGTGCAGGGGGTTGGCGATATGAGCAAAACAACGGATGAAACGACGGTAATATGATGCTAACCCCAAGAAACTGCGTAATTCCGTTTGGTTGGAGGGGGTTGGCCACGTGCGGATGCATTGTACGCGGTTAGGCAGGGGGGAGATGCGCCCGGGAGAGATTAAGTGACCCAAAAAGTTTACCTCGCGGCGTAAAAAAAGGCACTTCGTGGGGTTAAGGGTCAGACCAGCGGAGCGGAGGGCTTCCAATACCGCACGCAAATTGTGGTTGTGTTCGTCGATAGACCTCCCAAACACTATAATGTCGTCGAGGTAGACGAGACACTTGCCTGGGATGAGGGGTTGAAGGACGCGATACATAAGACGTTGGAAAGTGGCGGCTGCGTTTCACAGGCCAAACGGAAGGGTCTGGAACTCACACAGACCTTGGGGTACCGTGAACGCGGTTTTATGGCGGTCGTCTGGATGAATCTCAACCTGCCAATAACCGGATTTGAGGTCTAGTGTCGAGAACCATGCCGCATTTCCTAGGGCGTCTAGGGTGTCATCTAACCGCGGGAGCGGGAAGGAATCACGAACTGTCACGGCGTTAAGGCGACGATAATCGACACACAGCCGGACGGATCCGTCCTTCTTGGGGACGAGGGCTATGGGAGAAGCCCATGGGGACGACGAAGGCTGGATTATTTTAGCCTGCAGCAGTTCATCTAATAGCTTGTTGACTTCTTCGCGGTAGCGCAATGGGATGCGGCGTGGGGGTTGCCACACGGGCTTGGCGTCTCCCGTGTCGATCGTGTACTGAATCAAGTGGGTGCGCCCGATGGTGTCGGTGGACCAGGCGAAAAGGTCTGGGAAGGAGTTCAGGAGGGTCTTAAGCTGCTCATGCGCGACCGGACCAATTAGGGAGGGGGCGGGGAGAACGGTATCTAAGGGGGTAGGCTCTAGCGCTACGGCGGAAAGTACTGAGTTGTACATGATGTCGAGATCGTCTATAGTGGCTGGAGAGGCGGGTGCGGTGGTGTTACGGCCGAGTGTGAGTTGTCGTTCGCGGACATGGACTACGCAATCGTGAGCCTCCAGGAAATCAAGGCCGAGAACGATAGGCCAGGGGCCATCAAGGGTAACAAGAAACCTATGGGCGATACGCGCGTTTTCGATCATTAGCTGTAGCGAAACAGTGGCCGATACGGGTATCGCCGTGCAGTTGGCGGCGCGGAGGGAGCGGGAAGCCGGAAGTGGGTCCACGTGACGCAGTAGGTGGTGGGGAAGTTTGTGGATGGTGACAAGTGACACATTTGCGCCCGTGTCTACTAACGCCCGAGTGGGGTGACTATCCACACGTACCGGCACAGTAAAAGCAGGGACAGAAGAAAAATCGTGAAAGTAAATAGCGTCAACGGGGGTGGACTCACAAGGTGGGTTGTGGCCGCAGTGGCGAGCTCGTGGTCCGAAAGCCGCGCAGTACTGGCAGCCAGGGTTGTGGTCAGGGAATCGGACCGGCAAAGTGCTCCGTCTATCTGGGGTTTGGGGCTCCGGTCGGGCTGGGGGTAAAGGGGGTCTCGGAGGGAGTTGGTGGGTTCGGTGATATGTAAGATAAAGACGGCACTGCCGCAAGGCGTCGTTCAAAGTACGCGGGGGGTGGAGGAGAAAGGAGTCGGTGATCGTGCGGTCGAAGAGGCCTGAAATGAAACGGTGGAGGATGAGGTCGTCACGATCGGGTTGGGGTAAATTGGGGAAGGCCGCGGAGGCAAGTCGGGTGAGTTCCGTCGCAAAGTCGTCAACCGATTGCCGGGGGGCCTGGCGTAACTTGGCAAATTGCTCTGCCGCGATGCCAGGCGCGTCAGGGGTGTCGAACAGCTGCACGACGCAACGGCAGGCGACGGGAAAGGGAGTAGCTGATGTAATGCCGGCATCGAAGGCGCGTCGCCTGGCAGATGGGGAAAGGAAACGTAGTAAGAAACACGTATGTTGATGGGGTGGAACGTCGGTCAAGAAAAGATGTAAGTCACGCAGCCAATCACGGATGTTGTGTCCGGGTTCATAGGCGTCTGGGGCTAACAGGGGGCTGGGCGCTGATGTGTAAAGACGGTCGGTGGGAGGGGCCACTGGAGTAGGGTGGGGAAAGGGTGGATCAACGAAAGGGTTCGTGGGCGAAGTAGCTGCCACCAATGTAGCGGCCGAATAAGGAGGGGCTCCGGAAAACTCGGGAAGACCTGAGTTGGGATGTGATGGCTTGCGGTCTTTCGTATGGGTATCTAAAGAAAACTCCTCTAAAAGTCGTGTAACTCCATCATACACACTAGCAAAGGAAAGGGGTGGAGTGGACATGATAGCGACGAATGAACTGATACAAAAGTTTATTAGTAAAACGTTGGTGACACGGTAGAAAAATAAGTTTAATGCGATCTATGACGTAAGGTAAAAATAGTGGTACAGACTACTAATCAACTAAGAGAGTACAACTTAATCCTATGATTCGATAAAACGTGAAACACGGGAAAAGATTAGTTAATGGTGAAATGAACGAGGCGGAAAACGAATCGGCAGTTCAGGAATACGGAAACGATAAGGAAAAGGGAACTTAGCGGAGGGCGTGTCGACAGGCGTCATCTCCGATCCACGTGACCCAAATTCTGAAAAAGGGGGGGGGGCGGGAAGTAAAAAAAGGTCTGTTTAAAACAATCGGTCGTTACAGAAAACCGGAAGTACCCGTTGTCCAATCAGGCATCGCCTTTCGAAACCTCGCCAAGGATTGGTTACTTCTGTTTCTACAGCGGTTTTATATCATGTCGTAGGAAATAGCTCTTAACACACTACAAGTTCGAACGAGCTGAGGTCACTTTGGCGTGGATCCCGGATAGGTCTGCAGTGTCTGTTTACCAGTGAAGCTGGCGAGTGTTCCTTCAGTCCCTAACGTTGATACCGCATTCCTCCGTTCCCGTAGCCCTTTCGTCATTTGTCTTTCTTATCGCCAGCACACGCTCCGGCCCTTACCCGCAGTTTCCAGCAGCGCTGCAATCCCCACTAACATCTAGCTGATGTGACGTGACCACCTCCCACTCAAAATGGTTCATCTTTACAGTACCTCAATATTTCTTTGTATTTCTTATTTTATACTTTATCTACTCATCCTTTTGTTTTAGTAACATGAATTTCACATACTTGAAATCCCGGTTCTTATATCGTCCTTGTATGCATGTCTAATGTGGTGTTAAACAACTATGTCCACTGTTACCGGACGCTACCCTAGGTGGTCTATTTGACCGTATGTGTGTTTGTGTGCTAACCTCGACAAAATAGGCGGAGTCTGCTCAATATGCAATACATAATTACTGAATTAGTAGTCCGTTCAGAAAAATGATGAGCGCACAGTGAAAAAAAACCACTCGGGAATTAAAAAATGATTTGATTAATTTTACAGGAGAAAACTGTTGCTTATGAAGGGATAAAAGTGCGGGCAGGACCGGTCAGCATATGGCAGTGTATAACGGATTATAAACGGACATCGTCAGGGCAGAAATAAATGTCAGCACTGAGGGTTAAGTATGCGGCCAGACAGGACTGGCCTGCATTTTGTATTATAGAAGGGATTGAAAACGGACATCGCCAGGATAGAATTTATACGCCGAATGAGACTATTCGCGTTAAAGTGGACAGACGAGAGGAACCCAGACGCGATTTGTTACAGTCTGATTCGGGCCCAGCAGAGGAAGGGGCAAGGGAGGTACGACCAAACTGCTAGTAGACGTCGAATACAGAGAATTACGCCGTTAGCGTCAACTGACCGCTTGAGGTCGAGATGAGGATATGACCACAAGAACTACGAAAACCGTTGCTATGGGGGAGGAGTGCTAGCGGTGAATTTAGTAACCATTTCAAAACAGAGGGTTCTAAAGATATACATGAGGGTTTCAACTTGATCTACCACTAAATCCCAGGAGGACCCTTCTCGAAGTCAAGAAGCTGAGTGTTCGGAAATGAGACGGCTAAAAGTGCCTTTATACTTTCCGGTGTAGGGTGTTTGCATAATTTCGATTTGAATACCAATAACTTAGGCGGGGACCTAATTTCTGAAGGAAGATTACTCCAAAGGAAGGCATATTTGGAGGCAAAAATGAGGGAGCGCTGAGATGTAGTGTAAAGGGGCGGCGGAATCACCATGGAGGAGTTTCGCGTGGCATAACTTGTTTATTGTAAATCAACATGAAATAGGAAACGGTACATCCCGTTTCATCAGTCTTTTGACATCCATGAAAGGTTAGGCAAAGTTTTAATGACGGGTTCGCCAAAAGATGGAGCTTACACGGACTTCAACAAAGTTCCTGGGAAGGTTCCACACGAACGGCTAATATTTAAACTACTTGGAATTGGTGTGACATCAACCTAATTAGAAGACAGACTGACTTTTTACGGGCAGGTATTAGCATGTTTTCAATGATGACGCCGGAGTGGAAAACAATCCGTAATTGGATTGGCCAGGGAGCGTTCTAAGTTCCTTTCTTTGACGTTTGTGAACGACTGCGTCGGTTGCCGGATGTATATTTTACGAGCTCTAATTAAGTATGTCAATGGAAAAAATCAGTAAGTGAGTAAAGCTTATATCCAAGATGGCCAATGAGTTAATCATAAAGCACGATCACGATGCGGGGTTTGACTTTTGGCGGTGTGTCTTTTGCTCAAAAAAGGATGAGAGTGTTTAAGGTTATTTAGTCCGACACCTCGGAGCAAACCCTCCACCTCCTGATTTGATTCATAACCCTCTTGTTCTTCGAAAAATGGGGTATAGCACAGACCGTTATCCATGTGGCTGGCGGAGGTGGTGTTATCAAAATAACTACTGAAAATTATCAGTGCTCGAGCCATTATTCTTAAAATAAATCCTAGATAATCCTGTATTTCCAAATCATGGGTTTTTTACCACAACCCCAATCCATGTTGCATGTTTCTTTCCGATGCCGAATGTATACTATCATTAAATATTACTGCAAGTACGAAGGGAAAGGCGAGTTCTAGGAAGTTATAAGCGACTACGATGCTTGCGATCAACATTTCATTCCACCATGCAAGATTTCCAGTGTCACATCCCGACGGCTATGATGGAAGATAAGGAAGGCGGGTTCAGGAAGGAAAACTTTATTCTAGGTCGGATGAGAACAGCGGATTCCTCAGTTTGCCAACTCTCACCTATTTACCGTGGTAGAATAAATTAGAAAAGGTTTATTATAGCATCTCTTAGGCGCTGTTAGTTTTCTTTGAACACCGGAGAAAAACCCAAACCAAACTCATCCGTTTTGACTGGGGTTTAACCTAATTTGTTTAGGATGTCTGTTTAGTTAGTAGAACACGATTTGGAGTTTAAA